CTAACTCATCGACTGCAGTCGAGTTCCAATAGGTTCCCTATCAGAAGAGATGAGCAGGCGTGTGACCTCCAGCGGGCCGTATGCCTTAGACCAAGGTCCAATCTGAGCGTGTAACCTTGGCCAAGGTTGTATGCTGCGGAAGGGCGCTTGGTCGAGATGAGAACGTATATGCTGAGGGTTTGAGCCGAGGTTTCCTCAGCAGTGATGTACGTCTGTGCCTTCAAAAATTTTGCCTTGGTTCTGGGCGGCATCTTGGTGACAAAGCACTTGAGGACTGACCCAGGGAGGAGGCCTTGAGTTGCTGCGTTCATGGAGGTGTCACCTCGACTCTCCTTGACTTGCCGAAGTTCATCCTTCACCGCACTGAGTTGTGCCTGTATATCGGCGATTCGTTGGCCAATGGATACCTCAGCTTCCTCCCATTCTCCTCGGCGGTGAGACGGGTCGGCTACGTCTCAGTTCCTTTTGGCCCGTTTGTCATCGAGGTAGTCTTGAAGGTCTGAGGTGTGAGGTGGACGTGGCGTTTCTTGTTGGCGGCGTGTCCTTGGCTTCAACGTCAGTTGCAAGATCGTACTGATCCGTTCTCCCTTCGGTTGAGAGGTCTTGTGTGCCGAGGGGGTTGGCTCGCACGTTGGCTGCTACTAGGTTCGGAGGGCTCGGCTCAGTGGGAGTTGGCAGAGATGGGGGCTAGCGGGTCTGCAGACTCGCGTTGCCCTCGCTGGCCCGATGCCCGGGCAGGGCGCCCACCCTAAGGGCGGCTTCTTGCCTGGGGACACACCTCGACACGCTAGGCGAGATAGTCCAATCAGTCTAGGACCACTTGGAATTGCTCGTTGGTGACCAGGTTCTAGGAATTCCTGGTGTTTTGTACCATGTTGAAGGAAGTCTTTATTGCAAGTTAGATTGAAGGAAGTCTTAGCGACGTTCCCATAGACGGTGCCAATTGTTGATGCTCGGATTGGCCGAGGTCAACATTGTCAATTCACCCCCAAGTCCAAGTAGACCCGAGGTACTAGAAGTCTGAGGACAGGCATGGCTGAGGAGTAGGGTCTGAGATGAAGGAGATTCGTGGTCCGTGGTCCGATATCCGCTGTGTCTGGTACCCGAGGTGGATGAGGATCCCAGTATCGATTCTACAAGGAAAGAGAATGTTAGAGGCCTCGGATTAAAACAAAATTGACCAAATATAGCCAATAAAGTGAGTGTCTATGTCTTATTAGGGGTAAAAATGGTATTTTTATTAAATTTATTTAAACGAATATTAAGGTCAACATCGTCATTTTCCACTATCATCTAATGGAAGATTGATTAAATCCATTGCAATTTATAAGTGGTGTTTTAGTAAAATACAAACTATATGGTAGATTTTAGTAAATCTATGAAACTATAGGGGGTGTTTTAGTAACTGACCCTTTCTATTATTTAGCTTTCGCTTAACAAACCTCATGCATTGCATGGGTCCCCGCTAGTATATATATAAAGCAAAGTGGTCGATGTCAACTACCCTCTCCTTTCTCCAAAGCCCCTTCCTCCTTAACTCTCTCTCCTTTCCCCTTCACACCACTCCCATTTTTGCCAATTCAGCACCCTTTCCCTTCATTCCTTAATTAAGTTAGATAATGAAATTAACCAATTTATTGCTAATTATGTAATTAAAGTTAATTAAAATTTTAATTACAAATATTTTTGGAAAATAGTTTCACTTAAATAGTGGAAATTTTTAAAATATAAATAATATTTTTAATATATTTTGATGTATATATAATGTAAATAATATTGAATATATAATCATGGTAGGGACAGGGCAGGGACTTCACTCTCCATCACCATCCCCATCTCCAATTAGGGACCCCTATTAATCTCCATTAGGTGGGGGAGGTTGAGTAATTGGTGAGGATGGAGAAAATTATCATCCCTAAGTAATCTTGTTAATTAAACAATCTAACTAAGTTTTATTAAGCAACCTAATAAATTAAAAGTGTAAAGTGATTTTAGTGCAACTCATATTCTATATGTTAGGTTCTGTTTACGTTTATTGAGTATATTGAAGTTTGCAAAAGCAAATTTCAGTTTTTGTCACCCGTGGTGTTTATTAGCATTTTGCTGATGTGGTGCCTGATGGCGCCTATGTGTCATAAACACCTTCATTAATTGTTTTTTTTTTTATTTTGCAGTCACACAAGTACAAAAACGTAAACAGAACCAAACACCCCGATTATTATTGGTAACGGAAGAAGAATGTGGAAATCAAAGATTATTCAAAATCTTTTCAAAATACTTTATCCAATTTTGTAAGGAATCGTAAATGGTTTTATTCTATGGGATGTATATCTAGTGTAGGCCTGTAAACGGATTGAATTCGAATCGAATCAGGCTAAATTCGAATTCAAAACCGATTATGAACACTAATATTTGAATTCGATTCGATATCCGACAGATATCAAATCTTTGAGTTCAAATTCGATTTTGATTATCAAATCGAATATCCGATTCGATTCGAATTCGGCCGATTGACTTTTCGAATCATCCGATTCGATTCAAATAAACATTGTATTCATTTTGCAAAGAAAATGTGAAGAATTGGTATCTACTGTAACATGACATTCTATCATAATTTCAATCATTGTGAGGGTACTCATAACATTCTATTATAATTTCAATCATTGTGAGGGTATTCATATTCTGAAATGTAAAATCCCATTAAAATTTAAAGCCAATATGTACTGTGTGCTTTCATTGTGAGGATATCCATGATGAGAATATACACAGAACAGTGCAAAACAAAAAATTCAACCAATTCACCAACGGTCAGAAGGCTGATATTAGAAAAATCAGTTGTAGAACCTTTAATTTCCGTTAGTTGAATGTCTAGTTGATTCTTTGGACAAAAGAAACCAGAACCCACTAGAAGAAATACTTTCAACAGTTATCTGACTTGACTTGGAAGCCCTACACACTGCAAACGGGCGACTTAATGTAAGATCACGTTCTTTTTGGCAGAAAAGTTAGATCACTATACTCTTGAAAATTTTATTATTTAATTATTCTATCAACTGAAAGACAAAAAATTAAGTCTTACTTCAGCAATTACTGCTGTTTATATACTAGAAATATAGTTTTTCCAATGTTACATTGAAAGCATAGATTTCTAAACCATCTGACTAAAGAAACATGTGTACTTGCAGTATGTTTAGTGGCTTGCAATCTCTGCAATATCTGGCAAGGTTCCCCACCAAGTCCAGCAAAAAAATATTTTGTTCAGCTCATTTTTTGAATAGAAGAAAGCTCTTGCAGGCTATCTATGTAGCTATAATATGCACACCCTTAAGTGAAGATGTTGGCCAACCTAGAGATTATTTCATGTATATCGTTTTGTACAACTAAAACGGTTTTAGGTCAAGCATCTCCATGTTAATAGAAGCATGGAAGCCTGTTATTAAGAGCAATTTGCTTCTATATTTTTGAGTAAAAAATTACAAAAGAAAATTTAAAACTCAAAGCATGAGAGCTTACCCATGTGAATAAAATAAAATGATTGAAGCAAGTATTCAAATGAACTTCTTCCTTCAAACTGAGAATCTTCTGAAAATGTGAGTGATAGATGTGAGCATATACCCGAAATAGTCTTTTGAAGATTGTCTTAACAACATCTCGGAAATTTGAAGGAAATGGTGCCCCTGTGGGGGGAAATAGATCAGCATAAAATATTTCCATGAAAAAATGTTCTAGTATTATTAACACCATGGAACTTCACATACCCAATTTTTGAGGAAATATTGATTCATCATCGAGCTGAGATTCAACCCAGTCCATCAAATATTCAACATATTTTGGTGTAGATACCTCAATGGGTTTCTTTATTTGAACTCCATCAGACCATCTGTATTCATACCTGTGGAACATCTGGTTCCTTGGAGAACTTTCTTGGCAAATGCATAATAAGCTGAGACCTATTACATATGAGAAAAATTAAAAAGAACTTCCGGAGGCTTGATTCAGCTAATACTGTAATACTGTAATCATTCTCTAATATTGAAAAATCTGAAATTTTTAGTAAAATTAAAAAGAACTTTCAGAGGCTTGATTCATTATCTCATTAGAAAAAGAACTGAAAAATCTGAAATTTTTAGCATAGGAATCATTCTTTAATACTGTAATCAAATTACCTTGGGAAAAGAGGTAGGGGCGGTGGCAGGCGTGGGTTCCCGGCGGTAATTGTGGATTGCAGCACAAGAAGGTGATGCTGGCGATTCACACTGAGACTGAGAAAAGAAGATGCTGGGTTCCTGATGGCAATCGTGGGTTGCAGGGCGATGACTGAGAAAAGAAGATGATGATTCACTGTCTCACTGAGAAGGTGAATAGTGATGGGTTCCCAGTGGCGATTCACAGTCTCATTATCATTAAGAAGACAAAGACTGAGAAAAGAGAGATAGAGGTGATGAGATGAGCGACGACGGCGATGAAGGGCGATGACCGATGATGGACCGACGGTGGTTGCTTGGGTGACATCTGACGACGGCAAAGAGAGTAACGGAGGTCGGAGGGTTAGGGTTTTACACTTTTAGGGTTTTGAGAAGATGAGAGAGAGGTGGTAAGATGATTCAGGTTCGATGAGAGTTTTGAATTCATTATTTATTTTTTATTTTTTTTAATTTTTATATTATATAATAGATTAATATATATATATATATAGAGACATATAAACGGTATTCGAAAATCCGATTTTAAATCCAAATTTGAATCAAATTCGGATAATTCAAATCGGATATTCGGTTGAATTCGAATACCATTTTTTACCGATTAAATTATCGGATCCAAATTTTCTAGTGAACGTTTATGTAGTGACATGGCATTATGAGAGATAGAATTGAGCTAAGTAAGAAGAAAGTATGTGATGGTGACAAGGAATCGTAACTGGTTTTGACTCAAAAGGATTGTCATTCAGAAGTTCGGCTTTAGTCAGCTGTTTGAACGGGGAGATATTTCCAATGCAAGATTAGAAGAGGTTGTTCAAACTTCAAACCGTGTGAGCATAGACTTGCACCGACTGAAGTCGGTTTCTGTCATTCAACCGCTTGCAAGTTTATAGTAATCTTAATCTACTTTACTAACGTGTTCGAATGTAACAGAACTCGAAGTCCGAACGCACTGGATCCGGAGTGGTATCCAAACCGCCCACGCTTACGCTTTTCCTTATTTTTCCGGCTTCTTCGGCCTCCTTCCTTCCTCTCCTCATATTTCCAATGCAAGGCTATAAAGGGTGTCCGAACGGGACCTTTTGTTTTCCGTCTATTATTCTCCTTTGTCAATGTGAAATTTTGAATTGAAGCATTTGCCTGCACTTGATTGATAATTCGTCTCTGGTTCTTCATCGCATCTTCAGTTCAGTTATACCGAGGATCGCCAGGTCTCTCTCTCTCTCTCTCTTTCTCTCTCTCTCTAGAACGAACCATCATTGAGATTCTTCTTATATTTACCAAAATAAATAGATTTTTTTTCATGGGGTTTTAATTACATGGTTGGGCTCGGCATACCGTCTGACATGCGGTTATTCTATTCTTATTCATGGTTTAAGCTATGTATTGTGGTTCTTGAGGCATTATAACTGTTTTAAGAAATGACTGAGAAAGTCGATTAATCCTTTCCCTTCCTTTTCTTGTTTAGTTGCAGTCAGTAGTCCTTCAGAATCAAATCTGCGACCACGGAAGGAAAAATTTGTTGCAATGCCAACTTCTAGAACTAATGCGAAGAAGTGCTTGTACCAAGGGGAAGCTAGGCTAAGCAGTTTACCCGATCACATTCTTCATCGCATTCTCTCTTTTCTCCCCATAAAAGATGCTGTACGGACCAGTATATTATCAACAAGATGGAAGTACCTGTGGACCTTCATCACCCATCTTTACCTAGATGATGGGCTCTTGTTCTGTGACAAAAATGTCAAGGAAAAGTCACGAAGGTTTGTGTATTTCGTAGACAGAGCGCTAATGCTCCGCACTGTGTCAAATTTAGACACATTTAGTCTCCGCTGTCATTATTGCATTGATCCTTGTCGTTTTAATGCTTGGATAAATGCTGCGATACAGCACCAAGTTCAAAATCTCTCCCTCAGCATTCCTGTGAAACAGCCTATTAATCTGCCTCGGTGCCTCTTCACCTGCCGGTCTTTAATTTCACTGAGGCTGGAAGTGAATTATCAACTTAAACCTTCTCTTCGCTTTTGTTTTCCATCCCTCAAGAAGCTTCACCTGAGTTTCATTACATTTTCTAATGATTACTCGACCAAACAACTATTTTCTAGCTGTCCAATTCTTGAAGAATTACAAATAATAGGATGCAATTGGAAAAAGCTTAAGGTTTTCAACATTTCTGCTCCTGCATTGAAGACCTTAAGCATAAGTGATTTTCATTATAATTGTAATCGCGGTAATCCTGGTGAAAATGTGGTGTTCAAGTTATATGCCCCAAGGGTTGTGACACTGGACATATATTTTTGGGCAAGAGTCTATTCTCTAGGGGACCTACCTTCATTAGCTGCTTTTTCAATTCATAGTGATAGATACTCTGAAGTKAGCAATAGAAAATTTGGCCTCGTATTGCTTGATCTTCTTAATGTGGTCTCTAAAACTAAAGCCAAGCGTTTAAAAATATCAGGCTCTGTCATAGAGGTAAGATTGCTTCTTTCAACCATCTCCTTCTATTGTCTTCTATCTTTTGTTTTCGTACTGCAATCCATTTAATCCTCTATATAACGGGCATTTATCACCATTTCTCCTAGCATCTGATCTATGGAGATTGTAGTTCCCTCCTGCCTACATTTGGTAATGTGAACTATTTGGAGGTGTTTCCAAGCTTCTGTGAATCTGATTTGCATCTGTTGGCAAAATTACTTGATCGTGTACCTAATCTACAAACTCTTGTGTTTAAAACGGTAGTTCTCTATGCTCTGGTCTTTATTTACTATAGTATCGACCTATACAATTTTTTCTTCTCAACTTCTGAATTCTTTTTATCTGTCCAGAATGTTTTCAGTGAAGAAAACATCATGGAAACATTGAAAGCAGTTGGTAAAAGAATTGAAGAATCTGTGAGTTTGTTGCAATGCCTGAAGAGAATTGAATTCCGAGGATTCAATGGTTGTGAAAGTCATTTAGCACTAGTGGAACTATATCTAAAAAATTCAAAAGTATTGGTTGAGATGGATATCCTCCCTTCTGTGGAATTAGTGGTAGATGGAGAACGGAGAGCAGAAGCTTCCTCTAAGTTATTGATGATACCTAGAGGCTCACCACACTGTGTAATAAAGTTTAGTTCGGACTGGAGGCAGACTGTTTTTTAACCAGGCCTAATATACTTGAAACCAGAGTTCATGGGCAAACTAGGAGGGCATGCAATTAGTTCTTATCTGACTCATTTGTGGCAGCTCAAATGGTTTATTTTGTGGTTAAAAAGATCATCCTAGCTAGCTTGTTTATGTTTATGTAGATCTTTTTTTTCCTTCTGTTGAAGACTTGAATATTGAATCTACACTGATAAATACAAGAATGTCAAGCGCCATTCTTTTTTAACGTAGGCAAACGGGTTCGTGAGTTTTGTTTAGTGGGTTAAGATGGATCAAGACTTCTGTGTGAAGCTAGCTGTCATTGAATCTTTCATCACCTTTTGCAATGCAAGCTGGTCGGTTAATGCAGGAATTTTACATGTGGAAGCTGTAATTGCAGCTCCTCAAAAGAAGAGTTCAATGGTTTTCTTTTGCTTACCATAAGCTCCAACATCATATTTGCCACGTGGCAAAAGTATCCATTTTTCCAGCCTCATGGTTTGGGGTTTGGGTTTGACCTATACTGAGTGAGACCACTGTTGAGATGATTGAAAAAATTTCTGATTAGTACCCTGTGCTTTGGGCTTAATACCACTTTGATCCTCAAACTTTAAAATGTGGCAAGTCAGTACTTTAACTTTTAAAACAAGACAATCCAGCTGTTAACTAGCTGTTAACTATTCATTAAATGACATTTGAAAAAGACACAAGTGCACTTCAAGTATCATCTAATTTCTTTATCAACCATCCAAATATTGACAAAAAATTAACAGCCTCAAATCTTTGTCTCATCTATTTAAAGAAAGTTGGGGTCACTAGAATGCTACTCAAACGCGTCAACTTTCTTGAATGGAAAAGGTAAGGATTTGGAACTGTGAATTTTTTGTTAACGTTTAGATGGTTGATAAAGAAAGTTAAATAACATTTGAAGGGCATTTTTGTCTTTTTCAAATGTCACTTAACGACTGTTAACAGCTAGTTAATGTTACGTATTGGATTATCACGTTTTGAAAATTTGGGTACTAAATTGTTGCATTCTAAAATTTGGGGATCAAAGTGACACTAAGCCCAAAGTACATGGTACTAATCGGGAATTTTCCCGAGATGATTCATCGTTAAGCACTCCATTTTTATACGTCTACAAAAATAAATAAAACCATCAAATGGATGATCTGTCCAGGGCTTTTGTTATTTTGTATTTATTTATTTTCTGACAAATGAACGGGCTTTTGTTTAGGTGCTGGATATAGGGTATTTGAAACCTACTTCCAATGAAGCAGGTCTTAGAGTTTGATTTAAGACAAAGGAATGGCTTCATATGTGAAGTTTTGTGCCTGAACTCAGAAGTCTCTCCCTCCACTCTCCAGATTAAAGTGGATCATGTCGGGTCGGCATGGCATGCCCTGTGGGCGGCCCGCGCAAAGTGCAGGCCGTGCCATGCTGGCCCGTGGGTCATTATGGGCCGTGCCGCCCTCTCTGTTGAAAATTTTGGGGATTGGCCCGATATGGCCCACAGCCCAGGCCCATGCAGGCCCGTGCCATGTCGTGCCACAAGGCGGGCTGGCCGTGGATTGAGCCTTGGGCCAAGTCGGACCGTGCATCTGGCCAAAGCTATTTATTTAAAAATTTGACAAAAACATAAAATTTTAATTTTATATGAATTTTGTGTATACAATTGCTTATATATTTATTTTATTAATATATAAAATTAAAAAATAAATTAGTATAATAAAATTAAAAAATATATTTATTTTATTAATATATTATATACTATATATTATTATATAATTATAATTTCATTAATATTATATAATTGTATATAATATATATAAATAATATATATGAGCCGTGCCGCGAGCTGGACTGCAAGTTGAGCCATGCCATGTCGTCCCATGGACCTAAAACCCCTGGCCCAGCATGGCCCACATAATCGTGCTAGGCCTGACATGACCTACAGACCATTGTCTTGGACTGTGCCGGGCCGGACTAAGTTCATGCCAAACCGTATCGGGCCGCACAGCTCTAGGTAAAGGATTTGGGGGTGGGCAGAGTAAGATACACGTGAGGCTTACCGTTACTAACCATACTATGTACTATGGAGAGCCAACAATTCTTCCTCAATGGAGCGGGCAGTGAGCCAACCAATTCGACTAGTATAAGTCATAAGCACATACCATCGATTCTAGATCCACAATATTACAACTTATTTACTTATATCTACATAAAATTATTGCCCAAAAAAATCTATGGTGATTGGGTTCGGTCTCATCTTATTATCAGCGTTCAGATTCGGAGCTACTTGGCCTGCTATCCTTATGTCTGATGAAGATATCCCCTTATTGTTCGGTGTATGAATTTGAGATTGGATCAATCAAGTTGGAAGTTTAGTGATTTTTGGACTGATGAAGCATGATTTAGCCAGATCAAGTTGGAAGTTTCCATGGGGACCATTCTAGGTCTAGATCCGCTTCTGCCTGTCGACTAGGCAGGCCGCAGGCAGTCAAGATTGAACTGGGATGTCGAGGCCCATGTCCCTCAATGGCTCAGGCTGGCTCCACTGCTACCAACTACTGTGGCCTGTGGCTAGTATTCTGCTCACCTATTGTTGTGTTATTTTGTGATCTAAAAAGCTCCCAACCTTCAACAGTTTCAAATCTGACCTGTTTGCCCGAACTTGAATTCCAAGTGATCTGAAATTCTGATTTCGATTAGTTTATAATTGGACTAAATCTAAACCCATGCACCCTAATCTGACCTGACATGATTGGGTTCAATATAACTCAGACTATGATGTCAACAAGGAATTATAATTTATACCTAAAAACTGACCACCAATCAACTGGTATCAAAGTTATTTTTCATTTGTTTGATGATAAATTATATTGTGATGATTTTGAGTTTAATTTTTTAATGCTCTTCAATACCCTAGTTAGATATACACATAGTAATAATTACATACACAGATGAATGTCAATATAATATTTATATGGGTAAAATATAAAAACTTCCCCTGAAATTTTTGACAATCATAAGAACCATCCTTATAGTTTTACTTTAACAAAAACCTCCCTTGAACTTTTAAAGAATTTGACAAACACCTCCCTTTTGTCATTGACCCAGACGAAAAACGTTAGGTCGATGCATCAATTTCTTTTCAATACCCATTTTACCCTTTTGTAAATTAATGTACATATATTTTTATTTAAATACCCCTATAAGAAAATCGACAAAAAATCTCCCTATAAACGGCTCAATCCTGCCACATGTGACCAAAATGGTTGCTACCTGGTGTGTTTGGAAGCGTGTCGTTTATCACTTCAGAACACCAGTTTCAATATTTATAATTTTTTTTATTCTCAAAATAACTGTAAAACGCAGTTAGTGGTGAGAAAGGGGTCGTATCCACAGGGAAGCGAGGGAAAATTGTTATGTACTTCAATACGGACAAAATAACAAGATTTGAGATTGCAGAAACACAAACTTTAAAATAAAAAAAACTAAATAAAAAAATCTACAACTCGATCAGAGATAGCAGTCTCCAGATCTATCTTTTAACCCTCGAACTCCTAGAGCTGGGCCTTCTGTCTTACCTGGCCAAATTTCAGATCTGCAGAAAGGAAGACAAAAATTAAATTTGATAAAAATAAATTGCATAAATAAAATAAAATCAGAAATTAAAGAATGGAAAATAAAAATACGCATAAAAGGTAAATCTAAAACTATGGGAAATTGGTTGGGATGCGAATCCAGAGGTGGCAGTAGTGGCTAGGCGAACTGCAAACAGAAACCCATTCTCTTGCCTGGGCGTTCTCCTCTTCCTCTACCCTTGAACTTCTCAAGAATAGCCTTCCATCTTACCTGGGGGCAAAATCCAACCCCTTCTCAGGACCCCTTGGGTCCTTTTTATAGAGAAGGAAGATAGGTTTGTGATTAGAGAGAAAGAGAGGGGCAGCAGTTGGGTTTTTGTAGAAATATGGGCCCCCTAGGGTTGAGAATGGAGGATTATGATTGTTCTATGGTGATCCTAAGGCTGAGAAGAGAAGGAGAGGGCACCCAATATTATGTAGGGCTGAGATTTGGGCGCCCAGAATGGAGGGAGCAGATTTGGGCGCCTAGAACTGGAGAAATGTGATTGGTTGGTGTGATGTGGCGCCCTAAGGTGATTGGTTGAGGTTTAAGGAGTGAGGTGTAAGGCTAGGATGCTGTCTAGGGAGAGATCTAAGGGTATGAGGGGCTGCTAAGGCTTGGATGGTTGAGATTAGAGAGAGGTTGTAGTGAAAGTTGGGGATTTGCAGAGCTGCGGGCGACTAGCAGATAAAGAGATGAGGGGGAGGCGTCTAGGGCTTCAAAGAGAGAGTTATTTCACAAGAAAGGCACCTATCTGGGTTTAGCAGATAGGAGACACCCTCCTGTGCTCAGTTTTTCACAAAAACACTCTCTCTCTCAACTGGAATTCGCACCAACTTCCCAAAATCTATAGGAAACTCTGTAATTTTCCCTGTTTTTACCTAGAATTTGCACAGGGACCCTCAGAGGTCACAATATTGAATTTAACTAGAAAAATGGTACAAATTAACTAGTCTATGGTCTAAAATACCCCTGAAATGATGCCCTTAAGGCATCAAAATACAGAGTTATCACACTTTCAACTTGATCATTGCTAGTCCCTTAGCAATGTAGCCTTAAAATTACACTAAGTAAAGAGATCATTCCCATTGCAAGATCATCCCTGACAAAATTAGCCAAGTATCCTGATTCTAGAATTCTCAAACTTTGTATAGATCAGTATTGGGTTTAAGGGGTAAAACCATCATACTTTGAACATTACAGAAACTTGGATTAAAAATCTTATATACCCTTCCATTTGCAGACTGTCTCGATAAGCTGAGATTGATTTTTAAAATCAAGCGGGTATTCTTCTTATCATTTCTGATAGTGGATTTCTACCCCTAAACTTAATATGCACACACTTTTATTGCTACCTTCCACCGTTTAACGCGAATCTCGACACATGACTTAGGTGAAGAGACCCGATTACTAAGTCTAGGGTGTCTATTGACCTTTTATTCTCTCTCTCTCTCTCTCTCTTTTTTTTGCTGTGCATAAAATTCAGCACTGTTCGAGCTAGTCCACTATCTCTATTAATTTGAAGAATTTTTCGTCTGATTTCTCAATCTTTTTCTTTATCTTCACAGGGGAAAACTTGAGAGTATTTTCAATTTCTAAACGGTTTCGACAACATTCAAACAAGACCAAT